TATTCTAGTTTGACATTTTGTGCTTCATTTCATTACAAAAATCAGTCGTAGTATGGAAGATCTCTTACGGGGGAATAAGTAATTACATGATATTAGTTTTTTATGCCATAATAATAACACCACAGGTTGCACAGGATGACAATATGATAGGAGACATTGTTGCTTGTTGTTGTTTTTGTTGTTTCTGTTGATGTTGTTGCTATGTTGTTTTTGTTGTTTCTGTTGATGTTGTTGCTATGTTGTTTTTGCTGTTGCTGTGCTGTTTTTTCTATTTTTGTTTCTGCCATTGATGTGTTGTTTTTGTTGTTGCTGTTTTTTTATGTGTTGTTTTTGTTGTTTGCTACTTGTTGCTATGCTACTTTTGCTGTTTTTGCTTGTTGCTGAGAAGTGTTTCTAGTTTTTTTTTTTTTTGTTTTTTTCCTGTTGCTGTTTTGTTTTTATTGATTATAGTTTGTCACTTTTTTCATCTCTACTTGCTGAAAACTTAAATTCTACGTGATGGAAAATGTTTTCTAATTTCTATGATGTTTTTGTATTGTAGGAAGTGTTTTTAAATTTTAATAGGTGGTTATTTAAAAGATCTATGTTTTTGTAATTGTTTTATTTTTATATCTTCTACTTCTGTTGTTGGTAATCCATGGCATGTACTCTATAATTTATAAATAACAAGTTTAATATTCAAGAAGTCGGGTACCCAGAACCAGAACCGGTCTTGGCGGTTCCGGGAGCGGTTCCAACATTTTAGGAACCGGTGTAGGCGGTTTCAGTTCCGGTACCTATAACTTAAGAACCGCCGGTTTTGGGAGCGGTTCCGGTTCCAACTAAAATAGGCGGGTACCCGATTATGCTAATCCTTAAAATAACTATGTGTTACGCAAAAAATAGTTTCTTTTAGCTCAAACAACAACTTCTTTTAGCCCAAAAGGGCGATGGTAATAAAGGGAATTCGAGGGTGAGGGCAGGGGTGGGAAGGTTGGAGATTTCAGGGTCAGGGTGGGGGGAATGGGGGAATTTTGGGGGTGGGGCCAGGGGATGCAATTCTCATCCCATTTGTCCTTGTTGACATTCCTACTTTTTCTAAATGGTAACTTGCATATCTTTCTTTATATATAACATCTAATGTATTATTTAAATAGTATAACTAACTTGTCAATATTAACATCTACTTGAATTGTTAATATATCATGATCAATGTTGTAACGCCCACAAATCCAGGCTACAAATTTAAGATATAGTAAATAATCTTAGCTAAATATGTAGTAGTTGTAATGATGATCTCAAGGATATAAGGAACGCATAAATCTGTCTGCGTATAAAAAAGTTATGAATGTTTGAAGTTCCGCGTTCAAACCTATGGCAAAGTACATCGTAAAATACGAATTGGAGATAAGTTGCTAATTAGCCTAAGTACTAAATAAAATTTGTAGTAATCATAAAAAGCGAGAGCGTGCATATAAAGAACACCTAAATCTGACGTCACATGAGGAAGTTATGATTTTTTGAAGTTTTGGCGCAGCAGAATCAAACACAGAAATCAAAAATTCAAAACGGTTGATTGTCTGTCAAAACAATCTAAACGAGATTTGAAAATCTCGTGAATAGGAATTCGTCGATATAAAGACAGTCAAGAACATAATTCGTATGGAAGAGTTATGATTTTTATTCGGACTTTAACAGTCTAAGACCTCTAAAAATATAACTTTATAAATTACTAGAGAATTAGCTGACAGTCTAAAAGAAAGTTATAGTACTCGTCGATAGCTACACGTAGATATAAAGAACATCGAAAACAGAGCTCGTATGAGAAAGATGCGATTTTCTAAAGTTTTTCAAGAAGCACCACGCGCAGGTAGGATGTGCAGCACACACTTTCTAGAAGGGCGGCGTGGACCACCACCTTTGCGACACATGGCAACAACCTAAAGGAGTAGCGTAGCACGAGTGTACAGCGCGGCGCACACCTGTATATGTGCAATACTCATGGTCCAAAATCTACTATAAATAGAACTCAACCTTCATTCCCTTCCTCACATATACAAACCTCTCTCTGCAATTCTCTGAAGTTTTAGCTCGATTTCCCCTTGATTTTAAAAGGTTTTAGCAGAGCCCCTGAGTCGTCAAATAGGTAGAAGCTATCGGGTCGGAGTTCTGCCAGTGCACTTTTGAACTTTTCGCTAAAATTCTTATAAGTTAAGCTGCACTTACTATACTTCATGGGTAACTTATATTTATTTTCATAGTAGTTATTATGAACCTATAAATAAGACTTATCAATGATTATGTTTCATAATGCTGATTGATCTACTTAGTGGGGTGATGTCTACGCTAGATTTAGTGAGGTGTTTAAAGTGGGATTTCCAAACAGTATACTTTGTATACCAAACAGACCCTACATCTTATATGATCTTACATGGTTACTCATTATCAACTGCAAATCTGTAGACATTGGGATTGTTGAGGAATCTAGACTTTCATTAGTCACCGGTAATATAAGAGTAAGACTTAGTAATGTGAATACCTAGGTCACATCAAAGGAAAAACTAAAGTATTAGACGAATCGTTGCCCAAATCGCAAGTCATTCACTTTTAACAAGTGAGTGTATAATTACTTTCATCTTACACATAGATATGAAGTTTTTAAATAATAAAATGTTATATGTGCTTATTATATGTGATTAAGATGTTCTATGTTAGATGATTCAATATGAGATGATTTTTACTTAACCATATAGGTATTTTCATACTTATAATATATTAGGTAATGATGGGTAATGAGAGATGAAAAATGATGATGGTGATGGGTGATGAGAGATGAAACTAGTGATAATAGGCCACAAATTTTATAGTAATATTGTACTAACGATGTAATCATCTAACAAAGTATAGATGACGACCACTGACTATCCTAGATAGTCCAGTGGAACACAGACAGTTTCGCAACCTCTGAGTGATAAACTACGTGTTTATGCAATGTACTCTATTCCTTACCGACATGTATAACAGAGGAATCCCCAAAGCAGTACTGTCTACTCATTGTTCGAGATGATCCTTAGGATAGGTCCTTAAAGGTGAATATATAAAAAAAAGGAAATGAGTAATCGGGTTAAATGTTTGATGTGAAATATGTAACTAAACAAATTAATTATATCATTATGGATTGAAAACCCTATGTACTCACACGCCTCCCATGCCTGACTCACTCAATTTTATGGTATCACATGTAACAATACGAAAGAACATTATGAGGGATTCGAGAAGATAAAGGGCATTCATATAATAAGATGTTGTAAGGTCTATTCAGAAAAATTTATGTTTATGTTTTGTATCAGTTATGACAATTCAAATTTTTTCTATTAATGAAAATCGTTTCTTCGAAATCTTTTGATTAAAATAATATTTTTGGAAACAAATTTTGTGATAAATAAATACCCTGAATTAAATAAGCATAAATGTTTTTTTTAATTAGCCGTAAAAATAGAGATGTCACAATTGTCAAGTTTCTAAGGCGGTGTTTGGATAAATATGTTTTTAGCTTATTAGTTTATTGCTTATTAGCTTATTGCGGTGAAAATAATCAGTTTTTTAAAAAGTGTTTGGATTAGCTTATTTAGCTTATTCCTACCACAATAAGCAATAAGCAATAAGCATTCCCCCCTTGCTTATTAAAATCAGCTTATTTAGCTTATTCCTACCACAATAAGCTGATTTTTTAAGTTTCCTATCCAAACACTTCAACTCAGCTTATTGTGGTGAGAATAAGCAATAAGCAATAAACAGCCACTTTTTTCCCTATCCAAACACACCCAAAATTATAAAGTAGGTATATCAAATGCTTACGTTACAAGAGTCTTTCCACGAATGGAATGACATCACACAAATGACATCACCTAAATTATAAAGTAGGTATATCAAATGCTTACGTTCAATTCATCCTCTATTATGCTTAGTTCCCGAGTTTAAGTAAAGAACAGAAAATAAGAGAAAAAAAAGTAATGAGAGAGAAAAAGAGAAAGGAAAGGAAAATAAAATTTTCATTTGTGTTTCCGAGTTGGAGATAAGTGGAATGAAAATTATTTTGTTCTTTCTTTCCAAATCGAAAGGAAACTTAGGAGGGAAAGCGATCATTCCATTTCCCCTCATTTCCTTCCACCTCCTACCTTTAATGAAACTCGGGAACACCAATTTCATTTACTTTCTTCTCATTTTTACTAATTTCATTTCTTTTTTCTCGTTAAGTTGAACTCGGGAACAGGGTGTTAACAAATTACATGTAAGTTTTATATAATTCATCAGCTAACCTCAAGTTGACAAAAAGTCCGCAAATCAAAATTGTGATTCTAGACTCAAAGAAACCATAAACACATAAATCTTTTATGCTTATTAACTTCATCACAAAAGTGTATTTAGAACTCTTAAACCCTAATTAACATGCACTGAGAACTAAGAAGTGCAATAAAAAATAATAGTTTCTAAAATTTAGAACGTTAACGTTATCTTTCAAGATATTGATGCAATAGTTAAAACAAGTGGTCAATACGGAGTGCTGACCACCATGAAATCCAACCACCGACGCCATTACCGGCGCCAGCTACCTCTTATTACAACCTTGTCACCCATCGTAATGAAAAAAGAATTTATCATTTACTTTATTATTTTATTTTTAATAGCCCATAAAAGATCAAAAGTAATATCTTTTTTTTTTTTCGAATTAATTAACTGGACTCAATTTAATTATCTAATGATCTAAGCTCATTCAAGCCCAGCTACTTATTTTCTTTAAGAATCCAATAACTATATATTATTCAATACAACAAATACAGCAACAATAAAATCCAAGTCCCATAAAATAGGATAAGAGGAACATTAGACGTGATAAAATTATGAACACGTCACATAAAATAGGATAAGAGGAACATTAGACGTTATAAAATTATGAACACGTCACAAATAAGAAGAAGATATTTATATTAAAAGATCTTCATATACTTTACATCAAAAAATCCTCACTCTAATCTTATCCAAATCACACTAACCTAACAAATCAACAGTCACATTTCTGTGTTTATATAGCGAACAGCAAGAAGGCAACATATACTCTGTAGAATTTCTAAATATGATATGATAGCAAATGTACCCGATTCTTCTTTTTTTCTCAATGTAATAAGCTCTGTATATATATTCTAGAAGACAATAGAGAAAACTTATTTGTAACCGATATGGGACGAAATATACACGAGTTACTTGACCTTCATTTAAAAGCCTTTAATGTATCCATGCTTTCTTGTGTTGTACTCTTTGCAATAAATCTTGCTCAACCACAATTATCTTCAAGACAACCCACAAAACTTCAGACTTATTCCACTTCAGTCCCTCAACAAATCTGCAATAACCAAAATAATTCAGCAGCATCCACTCTTGATTTTTGGTAATTAGGATTGTAGGACATGTTAAAAACATAATTTAATTGTTCAGATTGAATATATTTCATTGTTCAGATTGAATATATCTATAACATAATTTAACAAGATGATCGACAGTTTTAGTTGCTTACAAATAACATATCCGACTAAAAAAAATAAAAAAATGAATACTTAAAGTAAAGTAAGAAAGACACAGCCAACTCGTTGATTTAAGATCTCGTGCAAATTACACCATCAAACGATATTAAAAAATGAATAGTTACATAAATTAAATAGCAATAACTATTTAATATTTATTCAGTCATTCCCCTTTAATGAATAAACTCAAAAACAATCCTTAAAACTTTACATATTTCAACTTGCCCAAATGATTTTACTCGCCATTTACAGATATTTTGTATTTAACACAAATCTATAAACAATTGTACAAATACTCAAAACTCTTGTACAATTCAAATATCTTCTCGGGTCATATTACTCAAGGTGCTTCGACCTTCTTTCCATAAGCAACACATAAAACCCCTTTGTCCTAAAAAACAACACCAATGAAACAAACATCCCAAAAACACAAACCCCAGCAAACACAAAAAACGAAACCATAAAGCAATGAGTCCCAAAACACAATCCCCCTTCTTCTCTTGCTTCTTTATCATAAATACTTCCAATCACTCTCACAGAAAATATATAAGACCCAACAGGATTAGCTGCAGCTATAGTGTTAAAAATCGTCCCCATATGTTTCACCCCAAATATTTCAGAAGTAATCGTAGGCATTAAAGACCACTGTGCTCCATAGCAAACTCCTACAATCACTGAACCAAAGTATAAACTCCCACCTAATGCTATGATCAAATGGCCAATCACCATTGCTGCTAGTGTAAGAGAGATGAACAGTGGTCTCCCCCAGCTGTATTTGTGTAAAATCAAATCAGACACAAATCCACCTCCGAATCTTCCTAGAAAGTTCCATATACTCCATAGAGACACCATTGTGTTGATCTTAACTTTTGAGTAGTTAAGAGACTCGCCTATTTGAGATATGTTGTTGATTGTCGCTAACCCTGATCCCATTGCACAAATCATGGCTAGAAATAAGAGCCAGAAGTTGACTGTGCTCATTGCTTGTATCAGGTTCATTTCAACTACTGGTGAATGTGAATCCACCTGAGCTTCTGAAGCTACAATCAATGGGGTTGTTGTTGGTGAAGTTGATGATTCCTCTTGTTCGTTTCTTTGAGCTGTGAGTGCGATTTGAAGAGGTGAGGAGATGAGAATGAGAAGAATGATGGTTGTGAGGAAGTGAGCCCATGATGGGAAGATGAAGATGTTTTGGAAGATGAGGATGATCATTAGGTATGTGGCTATGGCAAGTGCGATTAGTGAGAAGTTGTTTAGATGGTGTTTGTCGTGAGTTGTGTTTGAGGGGTTTTCGTGAACGAAATTCATGAATAGTAGAGAGACGATGGTTGGAAACAAAGCAAGCATCAGTAAGAAGGTTGTTGGTTTGCCATCTAACAGAGTTTGGTAGATCTGAATAAGTATAGCTCCGCTTAATCCAAGAAACCCCTGATCGTTTAAAATATTAGAAGATTTGGATAAATCGTGGATGGAAATTTGTACATTCTGAATATTTTAAACATCTACAGTGATGAAACTTCAAATGTATGGTACAACTATCCACTGCATTTGATTTGAATCTTTGGGTAAGTTTGATTCATCATTCATGTGTCCTATGTTTATCTTAATCACTTTTAACTTCTTGCGATTGAGAGAGAATTCTACTAAAAACATTCACAGATCATCGAAAGTTGGAATCTAACGTAAGAATTTGATCTTAGGGAATTTTTGTATGTGAGCGGAGTAAAATACCGATGAATAACAATCAACAACAGAAATTGAATGAATTACCTTCATAATGCCGACGGTTGTTCCACCGTAATCGGGAAAGTTTCGGACGGCGACGACGACATTTGCAGTGTTGAAGAAGGTCTGTGCGTGTGCCGCCATGAACATGAAGAGGCACATGAACAGGACATGCGGCCTATCGATAACTCCGGTAACGGATAACCACATAAGGAAGTAACCGGCGAAGCACTGAATCGCTCCAGCCAAGTAGACGAGCGAAAGTCCGGATCCGAAACGAGACGACGGCGGCGTTGAATCGCGGTGGTTATTGGTGACGGCGTGGTAGAGGAGACCGGATAAAACTCCGATATTAGCACCGATGTCTTTGAAGACGGAGACGGTGTCGAGAGTCGATTGATCGTAACCTTGGCTGGATTTGAGGGCGGGGGAGTAGATACCGAAGGCGTAGGAGGCGCCGCAGCTGCATTGGATCCATATGCTCGCCACCGTAGCTATCCATTTACCGTTTTCCATTTTCTTTGATTTTCCAAAAGGGGAAATTTTATCCAGTAAAGGTCGATTCCATTAAATACTGTCTGTATCGATTGACAGTGGTGTGGATTAATTGTTTAGGCTATTGGGAGTGGCAAGAGACGGAGACGGAACTAACAGCTGGATGCTTAACGCGACAGGTATAGGTAGGAGATATGGCCACGAATATTGATCGAGTTTTGAAATAAAATAGAAAGTGTTGCAAAATTTTGTATAATAAACTAATAAAGTAAATACATAACAAGATAAATGGTCCTTAAGATTTGTAAAATGTATCGAATTTGGTCCTTATAAACAATTTATTGCACACATAGACATAGTCTCCAAGCAGGAAAACCCTTGCAATTATGGTGTTTATGGCAGCCGGTGTTGGATTTGTCCCGTTAATGACAGAGTCGTTTTCTTCATGTGAGAGCATTTCGTCATTTTAGTTCTTATTCTCATGTCATAATTAAGATCAATCGACTATTCAACTTTCAAGTATGGTCCTCTCTGTTCGCTTTTGCATTTTGTGGTAGTGAAACATGAACTTACAGTGTGGACTAGACAACCAAGATCATCCCCAAAACCCGACTTGGAAGAGGAATACAGAAAGTGTTTTTTTTTTTTAGCTGAAATTATTGTATCTAACATTTGCTTCAGTGGTTGCCATTTTACCCATTTTCTCTGACCATTATCCATTGTCATATATCCATCATGATTGGTTGTTTAACAAGTGTCTTGGAAGGTCCTATATCTATACCAGAGTGGACTACATTGATTTCTTGGATATGGATGCATTTTCATTTAACAAATTACATGACATGCTGATGGATTTAGGGTACAACGATGGAGGCGGAATGTACTACCATACATTTCTTGATATCATATCCAATCCTAAGGTGCTGCAAAGTGTACACTGACATAGGGCCAAAAAATAAGTTCCGAGTTTAAGCCAAATTATCTATTTTGAGTTAACAATCCGGCCTAATCACTTATTCTCGCGAGGCTTGGATTCCTTATTTCTTTACTTTTTTAGTAAATTAGTAGAAGTTATATATTTGGCCCTTCAACTTTAGAAGTTAAATATTTAGTAAATCATTTCAAAAGTTATAAATTTGGCATCTCAACTTTTATAAATTTGCATTTGCTCATTTTTAATTGTTTTTTTAAGCTTCTCTCACGACAATTCACCCATATATATATATATATATATATATATATATATATATATATATATATATATATATATATATATATATATATATATTGTAACTATAATTAGGTTTATATGTTGTAACTATTTATTGTGCGGATGTAGGGATTAATGTGGACCAATCAATTTAAAAACATGGATAAGGGTAAAATTGTAATCTTACCTACTATTTAATTTTGATAATTAAGTTAATATTTAATTAATCCCTTTAATTTAGGCAAAATGGTTTAAGAATCATCAACCTTTCTCATCACCAGCCACACACACGTCGTTTTTCTTCTTTCCGAACCACCGACGCCAAGGAGCCTCCCTGGCTACCGACTACCAGTTATTTCTCTCCAACAATTAGGCCATGAACATCACCGATACACACAGCTCCACCACTAGCGACATCATACGACTCCACCATAGGCATAAAAATCAAACGACACCACCACCGCCGCCACGTCTTTCTTCCCTAGGACGCAACCTTCTTCCCCTGGACCTATTATAAAAAAATATATATGTATCTTCTTATTTCAACGTTTCCCTGTACTACGACTTCTCCATGTTTCGTCCCTACCACATATATCGCTGGACAAAAAATGTATGTTTTTTCTCATTAGCTTTTCTTTTGTTATTGGCTTGATGCTCACCATTTGTACATTATGATGTGTTTTAATTTTCAGTTTTCTTAATTGATTTTTTCCTTCATATTGTTACGGTTCACTTTTGATTTTGCCGGCGTTATCAATCTCGTAAAATTGTTCTTTGGTTCTTATATATGCATCATAAATTTTTATTTAGTGCGTTTTTTTTTAAACATATAACTTTCTTCTATATTTTAAGAATGAATTTATGATTTAGGGGTTTTTGGCTATTTTTAAGTCTCTGTATAACATGGATGCTTTTTATCAAGTTTTGCAATTATTGGGGAGATGGCTTATGCATAAGATGCTTATACCAAGTAATTTGTAAAGAAACTTATAAGAATAATTATTATAAGACTTAAGTTAGTCAATTCAAGTACCTATATTTGCAAGAAACTTCTATTGTGAATCACTTAATTCATCGAAACATGGATACCAAAGGTGAGGGTTAATCACTACTTATTTGAGATTTTTTGTTCCAATTATAATATAAAAAGATAATATGAACAGAAAGTCGATATATTAAGATGGACTCAAGTTCAAGTCATACATCTATAAACTTTAAAGCCACCATCTATAAAGTTAATCAGTAATTATTTTTATTTTTATTTTGCAAAGACAGATGCATTGCAAATGTTACATGATGAAGATAAATATATATTCTCACAGAATGGTATTTGTACAAAAAAAAAAAAAAAATCATTCTTACCAATGTTATTCTCAAAGAATGTCATTTTCGTAAGATTGGATCATTCAAGATGATCAAGTGCGTTCAATAATTATATTATTAAGAATGCTATTTTTACGACTTTTATTTATTTTTTATGACATTCGGTTAGAATATGTGTAATTGTATTAAAATATATTCGACTACTATTCTATAAGAATATGTACAAATTCATATTTATATTCAAATGTCTATGAATATATAAGGATATTATTATTTTTCAACCGATGGTTCAAGAATGTTGTTTTTCTTGAAGAAATTCATTTAAGCAAAATATATATTCTGTCAGAAATATGTATCCTAGGATTTTTGTAGAATATCATTCTGACAGAATAAAATCGGGTAAAATTAAAAAACTACGTTACAATTAAAATTTAACTAATAAAAAATTGGAATTTATAAATCAAGAGAATTATCCCAAAAAATCTGAAATTTTCCCTTTTTAAATTTATGTTGATTGATTAAAATACCCTTATAATGAAATTAGATGGTATTTTTCAATTATTTTTAATTCAATAATATATATTAATCACTTTTTTAAAATAACTAAAATGATTGGCTCACAATCATTCATACATCCACACCATAATTAGTTAGAACACAATAACCTAAGTATATATATATATATATATATATATATATATATATATATATATATATATATATATATATTGTGTGCATGAATGCACCAATAGGAATTTAGGAAAACATAAATAATTAAATAAATCATTTAAGGGTATTATAGTAATCTTTGCATATTTAATTATGGTAGATAATTAATATTTTGTTTATTATTCCTTTAAATATGGGATGTCAAAGTCAAAATTTGTTGAAAAAAACCCTAGTCGATTCTTTTTCTCTTTCTCTGGAATTCATCTTCACGTACTTCTTTCCATCTTATATGTGTGTCTCAATCGATTCGTGTATCTCTTTGTTAACCTCGACTCTAGCCACATTTTTGCTTTCCCGTTGTTTCTAATTTGTTTTGGGTCTTTTGCAAATAGTTGCATACGAAGAGGGGATTCAGGTGAGACCCTTCTGCAGGTTTCTTCTTTCTCTATTCAATTTTATTTTGGATTAAGATTGGAGGCTGCCTGCAACACAATCGAAATCGGAGGTACCACTGTTCATCAAGTTTAATGCACAACCGAGGTAATTAGATGACGTCCAAGTAATTAGATGTTTGTTTAACCTAATTTTCCTTCTTCCAATTTCCAATATCAGTTTCTATATGCACACCCTCCATAGAGCTTCGACCTTTTTCATTTTCTGCAAACGATTATTCCTTATTCCTTCTGTATGATATATTGTTTTGGTGTTTTTTGGTTTTTCCTTTATGTATTACCATCATAAAGAATACTTGATGGATGGAGATGATGATTGAAATGGTAAGACTCTCACTATTTTTTTTTTGAAGAAACTGAAGAAGCACACCACGTGTTCGATAAAATGCATAATTGAAATTTAGGTATTTTGTAACTGGAAAACAAAATATTGTTCATGTGATGTAGTAACTTGTGCTTAACTGTAGAAATTATTACCTCAATCCTGAAAATAGATTTTACGTCAAATTGCTTGTTGATTTTGATTTTGGAACACAATCATCAGTTTTTTAACCAACAGATAAGTATATATGTTTATGCATTCTATGTATCCTGCTATTTCAATTTCATAGTCCTTTTTTCTATTTAGATCGTTAGGTTTTTTTTAATGCATCTTAATGTCGATCATTCTGCTAGAATGGAATATCGAATTCTAATTTCGTCAGAATAGAATCTTGAATTCCTTGTTAACTTAAGCAGTGAATTACTGTAACCAATTCTTTCAGAATAAAATTGGTTTCTATTATTGTTATTGGTCTCGATTCTTATAGAATGACATCCTAAATAATGAAACATTACATTCTTTCAGAATAATATACATTTCAAGTTTAGGGATGATTGTTAATGTTGGTTTGTAGAAATTATAGTTATATTCTATTTGAATGTATATCACATTCTATTAGAATTTATTGTTTTATTCTATTTAATGCACTAAAATTTTTAATATTTGAAAGTTGATTATGTTTTCCTTGTGAATTTAGGTTTTGAAAAGGTTGCCATTAATGTGGAAAATGATGAAAACATGGAGAACGATATTGTATTCTAATAGAATGTATTCTGTCAGAATTTATAAATTATTTCTTAATAATAATATTCTTTCGGAATAGAGTAGTATTTTTGTTAGATTTTGATGTTTTTTTTTTGTTTTTTTAACCATTTTATTTTTAATCTTTAAGAATAAATGTAATCCTTAAACCATTATTAGTCATAATTTTTTTAGAATGATTGTAATAATTGTTTATAGTCTTTTTCTTTATGGATGAATGTAAATAGTGATTCTTAAAGAATAAAATCCGTATTCTTTAGAAAATGTTATTCTTGATAATATGTTGTATAATTTTTTAATCATGTTTAATATAAAAAGTATCTTGAATGAAACAATATTCTGCAAGAATAAACCGCAAATATATTTACTAGTTTATTGTTGACTTTTTGTCATTTTGACAGAATAAAATCGGTTATTATTAAAATTAATATTAAAATTTAATTAGAATTAATTTAATAAATTCAGATTTTTTAAAAAT